TCTTTGTTTTGTATGCGTTTTAAAAAAAAAAAAAAAAAAAAAAAAAAAAAAAATATATATATATATATATAATAGCTAATTTTATTATTATTATTAAAAATATATAACTTTTCATTATTGCACAGTAATGTTACTGCAATTAACAGAACAACCTCATAGTGTATCTGTTTTTTCTCATGAGGTCACCTTTTTATGTTCACCCTAAATATTAAAGGGGTCATATGATGCGATTTCAAGTTTTCCTTTCTCTTTGCAGTTACAAGCTGTTCGTGAATAGATAAGATCCCTAAAGTCTCAAAGACTAAAGTCTCAAACCCAAAGAGACATTCTTTTTAAAAGTTAAGACTAGTCCACGCCCTCCTAAAACGCCTAGTTTAAACACGCCCCCACATGTCTACGTCACGATGTGGGAAGATATGCATAACACCGCCTAAATGTATAAATTTTTCACCGCCTAAATTTGCATAAATGTTCATGCAAAGAAAGAAGGTGTAACTTTGATTATCGCTGTAGTATTGTTTCCGCCGCCGCCATGTCGTGAAGACGCTGTGTGTTTCGTTGTGAAAGCGAAACTACTTTTTTGGTCTTCCAAAAGAGGACACAACTAGAAATCAGTGGTTAAGTAGTATTTACAACACTGTTCCAGAACAGTTCAAACCAAATATTCAAATGTGTGCAACGTATTTTACGGAGGACGAGGACGAGGACGAGGACGAGGACGAGGACAAGGGTTTCCTGGGAGAGTAGCTCTGGTGAATTCAGTTCCCGTTTCCCCACAGTCTATGATGCTGACTCACAGCCTGAAGGTATGTTTTCATATTTAAAGGATTTGCCACTGATGATTCAAACGTGAGTTTTGAGCAGTGTAGAGTAGCGCTTGTTGTTTGTCATTTCTCCGATCACAAATGCAGACATGGTTTTATGTTTACGCGGCGCGTTGCAACGCATTTTATAATGGGTTTTAATGTTTTTGTCACATCGCTCCAGCCAGGACAAGGCATCACAATATGGTAAGGGGCGTAACATTTCCGTCACACGCGTGAGGTATTCGGCCAATCACAACGCACTAGATAGCTGGCCAATCAGAGCACACCTCGCTTTTTAGACCGATTTGCTTTGTACAAATCGACACGTTTCAGAAAGGCGGGGCATAGAGGAGAAACAATTATGTACAGTATGTGGAAAATAATGTGTTTTTTTAACCGAAAAACCGCATAAACACATTTCATTACACCAAATACACCAAATAATTTATTTTTAGCAACATCATATGACCCCTTTAAAGTGGCCACTTTCCCATGCTCGCAAACTGCAGACTTTCTCATCAATTTTTTTCATCACATACTTTTATGTCATTATGAAGAGATCATTCCTCTAGAGACAAGTTATTAAAGTTGTCAAATTTAATGTCTCAATAAAAGTTAATATCTTACCAAAATCACTGGCGCAGTAGTGCTCCATTATGGTGTCGGCTTTCAACTCATTGTCACAGGGTGGACACACTTTTGAAACTGCAGGGTAAAGAGAGGGCAAGTTAGTGTCTAGAACATTTAGCCAAAACATTTAGCTATTTAAAGAATACTGCAAGACTTATTTTTTTTGGGAAATCTAAAAATGTTGCATGCTTCAGGTAGTAACATCAAAAATAACTGTCATATATAATTTATTTATCAAATATCATTTACCTGTATGATTAATTCAACCTGACTACATGTATTTTTGTCTAACAAACCAATAGTCCCGCCCCCAAACTTGTGCAATTGGTTGATTCAGTGTTGCTGTTTCAGACTGGTTGGGATAGAGCCAGTTTTTTCTGTGTTTACACTTTTGGGAAATCAACCTAAGAATTGCTTGTAGTTGTTATGTGAGGTCAGTAGTAATGATACATGAGTTCAGTGAAAGATGAAGTGAACTCAGTGAAGCCTATCTTCAGTTAACCACAGGAGACACACACAAACAAACAAAACATATTTACTAAAATTATGTGATTATGTTGATTCTGAAACTCCAATGAGGGTTTGGTTTCGTGCAGTTTCATTGCAGTGCTGGTCTCATGTGGGGGCAGCAGGCCAGTGCTAATGAAGCTTAATCCACAGCGTTTGAAGCCATGAGAGGGAGAGGTTTGGCAGCTGCTAGTTTTATTTGCTCACAGAAGAAGGGGAGTTATAAAACAAGATTAAGACTTTCAGTGGTTCATCACTGTAAAATTATATCCCTACATATCTGTAGTGTCTTTAGTGTATGTCCAGTTCGACTGCACATCACTGGACCTGAGAAAATATTTTTGGCCTCTACATCTCAGGATATTATAGAAACCAGAATATTTCACACTCATTGCAGGCGTACGAAGACAAATTCAGGGGTAAACTTTTAATAGGTCACTGTTAAAACATACTTCTCAGCAGTGTAGCGTCTCGACCAATCTGACACACTAATTTTAATTTGATTTAACAAATCAATTATTCATTAGGTTAACAAATCGTCACAGTCCCCTCACTCAATAAACTGGATGCCAGGATGTCTGCTGAACACCAGGCCCTCTGGTCACCATGACAACTAATCATGATATCACTGGTTTTATGACCCCCCAGGAATGTGAGAAGGATAGCCCACTCTTGTCCCAAGGAAAAGCAGAGTAGAAATGGACTGTGTTCTAGTTAATTCATAGAAAAAACGTTATTTGAATGAACACACATATTTCTTCAGGCCATTGAGTATATTATTGTCATTGTGTATTTTGTCTGTGATATTCTTAGACTATTTTAGTATGCTTGTGAGGGGACCCATTCCTGATCATCCCTTTTCACTATATGTAATCTTACCTTGCAGTTTGACAGTGAAAATGTTCACTGGAACATGCAAACAGCTGTACGTGACCTTCTTGGAGATGATAGTTATTTGCTGATCTTATTTTTAACCGTAGAGCCATCACACACAGCGAGTGAAGCTACAGATGTTTATTGTGCCGCCTACTGGGGTATTAATTTTCTGTTCAGTGGACTTTAATATTACTGTATAACACACACACATACTTAGATATGGGCGAATTTCACATTTATCAGTACAAAAAAAATTGTTAATGAGTATTTTGCATTGTTTTCCAGTGATAATATATATAAGACACAATTAATTTATGTGAGAAGCAAATTTGGGAATTTTCTTATACCCCATTGGCAAATAGTTTTTCTTGATTTAGGCACAACCCACACTAAATTGGTATAACAATCACATAATGGCCAACACTTTTCTTATATTAATAAAATTAAACTTGATAATAACCTAATAACTTTTATCTTCATCATGTTGCTTTGCATGGATGTTTTAAACTTTTAATGGATGATTATTTTTACTGGAAAACCAGGGAGATTTTAGGGTCAGTGAGATTTTTTCTTTTTTTTCTTTAAAGAATCAAATGCTTTTATTCATGCAGAATGTATTCAATTGTTGAACTTTTGAACTTTCTGTTCATTTAAAAAAGGTGGTTTCCACAAAAAAGTAAAGCAGCAAATCAGCATATTATTAGGATTTCGGAAAGGATCATGTGACACTGAAGACTGGAGTTTGGAGGTTTTTGAGTTATTTAATTTAAATTGTAATCATACTTAATACTTCACAATATTACAGTTTTTTTCTGTATTCTTGATCAAATATTTACCTCCATCTCTTTTTTTACAACTGGTAATGGTTCTTTTGATATTGTTATTTGTTTTCTATGGGATTTAATTATTTTTGTCATTTTTGCAAGTGAAGTACCGGGTGTATTTTCCAGTTGTGAAAGCTTCCGGCCTTCTATCACATTGTTGATCCACTTAACTGAGTATTTAGGAAGAATGCAGAATGTGGCTTGTGAAGATTTGGAAAAGTCATTCATTTGTTCAGCTAAAAATACAGAAAGTTGTATTTGATCCCTGTGTGGTGGTTCTAACAGAATAAGCTGTGACCAGATTGGCTGAAGCTTGAAGTTCTTCACTGAAATCAACCACACAATGATGTGTGTTATATCTGATCTCTGAGGTGGTGAATATGATTTTTTCATTTACGTCAGAGCTGGTCCTCCCTCAAGCTCACAAAACAAAAGCATCTGGTAACAAGAACTTACATGGCTCATCTCCAGACTCCCCCTTCCAGGTTAAAAACCAAGGGTCAGAGTTTATCACCCCAGCCTCGAGCACTGCCATAGTGGTAGATAATGAGGAGAGGGGTCAAAGTTCACCAGGCTTCAGTGCACAGGTCGTAGGGAGTTGAACCTCTATGTAAGATTCAACCGTCAATTGGTCCCTGAGCAGAAATTCCCATACATTCAATATTCAGCAAGTCAGAGACGTGATGTGTGCAGTGAGTTGCGTGCACTGAGCGTGTTCTGGAGGAAACTTTGTTTCATACTCGCAGGCTGTAGCAAACTGCATACTTGAAACTAAAAAGTCTTATTTGCACTGCAGAGCGATTTATTCTGTTTTGAGGGGTGGCTCACTGGCAGGATGCCTGGTGGAAACGGAGCCAAAGCATGTGTCAGGAGACTGAGAAAGGATAATTCAGCAAACCGAGTTTCTGCAAGAAGTGCCAATTCAGAGACTGAGTGATATCAGAGCAATACTGGCTTTTTATTTTTTATCTATTCCCTAAATGTCCTGTTGAATTCCTTCTCATGTTCATTGAAACTTGTGTAAGGAATCAACAGAACTGCTTCTGAAAGAAACAATTTTAATCAGCAAGAGTGCTTTAGTAACATGCTTAACAGCTCAGTCCTAAACCGGTCTCTGCAATGTAAAACCTGTTGTCAGGTAACCTAAAAATGTAGTTCATGTGGTAACATATAACTCAAGTTTACAAACTAAAAAAAGTTTAACATAAAAGTTATATAATCTACTGTACTGATTTGTTTGATTCAGCCATATTAAATATTATTTTTGGGCAATAAACCTGACTAAACTCAATTAAATCCTTAGGGAAACAACCGATCTCATATATATATATGTATGTATTTAATTTCAGTTTTCATTTTTTATTAAATTTTTTTTCAGTTGTCATTTATTTCATTTTTTGATTTAGTGATTGGTGACAGACTTTTGTGGCCACATTTAAACAACACATTCAAGCAAGAGTCAGCGATTTTATGAAAATATATTTTAATTCAAAGGTTGAACTGTTTTCACAAGAAGGGTAATTTGGTAACACTTTACTTGAAGGGGTGTGCATAAGACTGACATGACACCTTCATAATCATGACATGACACATGTCATGAATATGAAGGAGGTTTTATGCATGTTTATGACAACTGTGATTAAGTGTCATTCGCTCAGTTATGTCATTTTTAATGCAAATATGACATTATTTGACCTAACCCTAACCCTACCTGTACCCTTACCCCTAACCATAGCCCATAACAAAGACATCTCAAACAATGTCATCTTTGCATTAAAAATTACATAACTGAGCGAATGACACTTAATGACAGTTGTCATAAACATGCATAAAAAACCTTCATATTCATGACATGTGTCATGTCTTGATTATGTAGGTGTCATGTCATGATTATGAAGGTGTCATGTCAGTCTTATGCACACCCCTTCAAGTAAAGTGTAACCGGTAATTTTCATAAATTATTGGTCAAAAGAATGGTTTGATATTTACACTACCTTTTACAGTTTTTCTGTTACAAAATAGATTTACTGGTTAAATTTGGCCAGAAAAAAAGCCTATAATGGGTGATTTAATGGCTGGTATCTGTGTAACGGGGCTGACGAGACGTGAGATGTGTGGATCCATCTGCAAGCTTTATTTAAAGAGATGTGGTATAACAGGCAGGGTCGAAGAGTGCGAGAGTCAATGTAATGGAAAGGGTGACCTCTGGTGGTGAATAAACGGAAGTCCATGGACCGAATTCGTGACAGAGCCCCCCCCAAGGAGCGGCTTCCAGACGCTCCAAACACTAAACGATCCTCATATGCGGCCTCCTTGGCCGGAACAGGACGAGCAGAGAGTTCATAGACGGCCTCCTTGGCCAGAACAGGACAGGCAGAGAGTTCATAGACGGCCTCTTTGGCCGGAACAGAACAGACAGAGAGTTAATCGATGGCCTCCTTTGCTGGAACAGGACAGGCAGAGAGTTCATCGACGGCCTCCTTGGCCGGAACAGGACAGGCAGAGAGTTCGTTGCTGGGCGCCACCACCACGCAAGGAACTGAGGCAAGTGTCGCCATCTCGGGAGGTTCTGCAGCCTGTGCCGCCACCTCCGAAGAGACTACAGTGGACACCATGGCCTCTGGGAGCTCAGCAGTGGACACCGCTACCTCGGAAGGTTCTGCAGCGTAAGCTGTAATGAATAAAAGGGTTAGAGTGAGTGGGTTTGGGGATATCAGCGGTGCGTGCAGACACCAGCGGTGCATCCCTCACACTGGATACCAGACTGGGATACCGAAGGGCTGACCTTGAGAATCTGGGTGTGACAGACGGGACGTGACATGACTCTGGATGATCAGCTGTGATGCAACGTGATTCTGGATGAATAACTGAGGCGTGATGTGCCTCTGGACGAACAGTTGAGACGTGACGAGACTCT